AAAAAAAAAAATCTGTTGAAAGAAGCTACGTGAAAGCAAGAGATACGGCAACATTTGCCGACTTCCCTCTTTCTGTTTCTCGAGCGAATCACGATTTTGTTCAAAAAGGCATCGCGTCTTTCACAGTCAACGGTTCCATTCCCAGCCCAGGTAAGTCTAAGACGACCGTGGTTAATTCCCTAGGCCCTCCCCAAGATTGGTCAGGAACCCCAGCCTGAGCCTGTCAGCACACTATTTCCCCTGCAACCGTTTCGGTCCAGGAATGGGTATGTACCTCCCGTGACCCAATCAGAAGGAAAAGAACTTTTATTCCATGGTTAGAGAAGGGTTTTCTCTCTCTCCTCTCACCATATTTGGGGGGAGAAAAGGATGTACCGTCCTCAGTACTGACTGCCATCTTGCAATCATGAGGGAAGCAAATCTAACAGATGGAATGGAATGGAGAGAAAGAGAATTCTGTCGCGGGACAGGGTGTGATTCTGTGATAATTTTTACTGATTAAAAGTATTCTCCTTGTAGGAAAAAACTACAAAAGTGTATAAATAGAATAAAAACAATAAACAAAATCAACAGAATAAACCCCCCCTGTAATGCCATAGTAATGCCAAACAGAGAAAGTCAGGGTTAACAATTCAGTGGGTTTCACTTTGTCTTTTCACTACAATACATTTACTTTAAAAACTGCAATCATAATCAATATAAAAGATTAAATCCTGATTTTATTTTTTTTTTAATTTTTTTAATGTTTATTTATTTTTCAGAGAGAAAAACAGAGTGCCAGACGGGAAGGAGCAGAGAGAGAGGGAGACACAGCATCCAAAGCAGGCTCCAGGCTCTGAGCTGTCAGCACAGAGTCTGATGCGGGGCTTGGACTCACGAGCCGTGAGATCGTGACCTGAGCCGAAGTTGGATGCTTAACCCACTGAGCCACCCAGGCGCCCCCCAAATACTGATTTTCTAAATCAACATTGTGTACTGTGAGCTTTTTCCCACATTCAATATTCCAACACAGTACAGTTTGTTGGTACATAATATTCTACTGCGAACAGGTACCATAATTTATTTAAACGTTTCCTCTCTGAATGATGGAATTCAACAAGTAATCTTGAAATCAAATGTGAATGAATGATGTGTGAACATTTTGCAAAGGAAGAGTAACAAAGGAAGACTTTCTATACCAAACTGGTAATATATAAGAGAAAACTCTAATTGTTACGCTCTACTACCCGTTGGGTAGAATTGATGGGAATAGAATAAATAGCCCAGAAATGACGTTTAATAAAAGTCGTATCACAGGTGACATGTTCTATAAACACAAAGAACAAGAGCCCAGAAACTACGATCTGCTTCTCACGTCAAGGCAGAAAAAATCTAAATGAACGTGGCAGGGAAACAATGAAATAAATGACGGTGTGGCCTAAATAAAGCCATACTAATAATAGTAAGTCTTTAAATCTTGCCACACAGACCTGTGTTCAGCCCTAAAACAATTTTAAAGACAACAAAGCAGGTGGAAAACTCGAATCCCAGTCCCACTAAAAAAATCAACAAAGAAGTTGTAAAATTTTGTTCGTGAATGTGTGGACAAGTATATAGGAAGAGGTGGGATAGTGGTAACTTCCTGGGAGGGGGGAGACGGAAGGGAATGAAGAGGAACTCACTTTTTACTGCCCTCTAGGTTTTCCATGTTATGTGAGTTTTGAGAGCAAGATTTGTTGTTTGTGACTTTATTTTTATTTTTTAATGTTTGTTTATTTATTTAGTTAGCTAGTTAGTTAGTTATTTCTGAGAGAGAGAGCATGAGCAAGGGAGGGGCAGAGAGAGGGGGAGACACAGAATCCAAAGTGGGCTCCAGGCTCTGAGCTGTCAGCACAGAGCCCAATGCGGGGCTCAAACTCACAAACTGTGAGATCGTGACCTGAGCCGAAGTTGGCCGCTAAACCGACTGAGCCACCCAGGCACCCCTGTTGTGATTTTAAAGAAAAGAAAAAAAAATGTTGATGTGTTTTGTGTGTGTGTGTGTGTGTGTGTGTGTGTGTGTAAAATGCTGTAGACTTCACAAGTGAGAAACATCTCAGGCAAGCAGTTTCTGGTACTAACTTGTGATATCAGAAATGCCAAGGTGAAATGTTTCAGACTGTCCAAGTTTGGGCAAGGGTATTTCATCTCTGACATTTACTAATTGCCTCACCATTCAAAACACTTAAGCGTCAATCCAATGGAGAACTAGAATTTTATCCAATCGAAATTTAGTGGGTGCTCCTGAGAGGTCAGTAGGCCTGGGTGCACTTGGGGAGAACACAATTATAAGTTAATGGTGAATACTTAAAATGCACATGAGATGCAAACACAAAGATCTCATGTCATAATTACCTACCCCACCGATGGGACAAGAGCTATTGGCGTTATCACAAGAGTCTCCTGTGTTGACACAATGCGGGCCAAGAATATTGGGGGACACGTCTCCGAGGTTTGATGAAGCAAAGGCTGCTACATAGGGTCCCTGCCAAAAGAAACATCCAACTGCCTTTTATTCTCTCTTATTTCCCACAATGAATTCCATTCAAAACACAAACATTCCATCCACTCTGGGGAACTCTTCAAAACCATTTGAGCACAATAAAAGGAGGAGGTAGGACATTCTGAGAAACTTTGCAAAAAATTCACATTGCAGTCAACATGCATGTTATCACGCTCATGATATTCCAACGATCAATAAAGCTGTTTCAAATAGGAGAGTTTCAACTCTGTGCCACAAACAGAAACATTTTGACAAGAAACACAGCATACAACAACACGGTATAAAATGCTGACTCATCAAACTCCTTCCTGGTATTGTGTCTGGAGCTGAGAGGTCCCTTTCTCCTTGAAAAATAAATATCCCTACTGGCTTAAAAAGAAAATATGAATCCAGATGTTCCTGTGGCAAAACTGAACCTAAATATAGCATTCACCATCCAGATCTACCTCCGTGTATCTTTTCTTTTAGCTCTTCAACCTGAAGTAACAGCACATAACCTTTCTGAGTGGTGTAAGACTTTAACCTCAACCCAGCTGATGCAATTCCACCTTCCATGACTTCAATTTTCTTAGGGAAAGAAATAAGCAGGTATTGGAGATCATGTGTCTTTTTTTTACACCAAAAATATAACTTATCTCAAAATGCCCCAGCCAATGATCATAAATGGGAAGTTCCTTTCTTTTCCCTAAAATGCAGGCTAAAATGAAAAAAAAATAGTATTTTATCAGTCAGGAGCTAAAAGATCACTATGAATGCTCATGGGGCTAATAACTTTGGTATCATTGCACTTTCTAGACATTTATCCTAGTCAAGGGCTTGGGGTTCTTATCGTCCTATATTCTTTGGCATTTGGGACTTGGACCTTAGGCTCCAACAGAGCAGTCCCCCCCCCCCCCCACAACCGCTTAGCTATCTGTAGTCAGTAATTAACACAGAGCTGAGGAGATTTCTGAGGCACATGGACTGAGTTCCGGCCCCCATCTCTGATTCCATCCCTCATTGCGTTTCAAAGTTACAATAATAAGTCTGGTGGGTTAGGGTCGTCTCTCCCTTGGGGCTTATTAAAAGAAAGTATGACGAAACTCCTTAAAAGGAAATTCGCCATTAACAGGGAAATCTGGACCGCAGAAAAGATTCATCACCTGTCCCCTCCTCATTCAGGTTCTTAATGCTACTCAGAAGGTACTTAATACTTTGATAGCTCTGAAGAGAAAAGTTAACATCAACCCGGTTGATCATATTCCCAAGCCGATCAAAAAGTATCACGTATTGCAAAAATCTTGAGCTTGTCCTTCCTTCTCTAACTAATTGCAACTTTATGAAGCTACAGATGTCAGCAGCATTTGACACAGTCATTGTTAATTTTTCTTCCCCTCTCAGGGAGGATGGAGAATTCTTTTTATCCAAGCATATTAGTATGTGACGTGCCTGATGACACTTTACACTGAAGATTTGAATCAGCTATTCTGAGCATTGTACAAATGAGGATCTAATGAATTAAGATGATGTTTTCAATGACCCAAATCTCACCTGTCCAGGTAGGTATCCTTTGTTCTTCTCTTGCTCAAAAAGGTAAGATGCATAGCCCATGTTGTCACTATTGACAAGGTGATTGGTATTGTTCATGCTGACGGGGTGGATGGCAAACCAGCTGTAAGAGAAAAGGAGCCCTCGGCTCAGGAAGAGAACCAGGTGATGGAGTCAAAACAATGCCTGCGAGCTTTGGTTTTCTCCAGCAGGAAAAAAAACAAAACAAAACAAAACAAAAACGTTTTCAACGGTAGGCCTTTCACATTTAGGTTATTTCACTGATGATGAGCTTAGCTTATGAATAATATACTCAAAAAGTCTAGGCATTTACGTAAGTCAAAAATACAAAACTAAACGGTCAGCGATCAGACGATATGCCTAAAGCATTGTGTGGGTGCCGACCTTGTCCTTCAAGACAGGTGCACATAACAATGATTGAAGTCAACCCTATCTAATTCAGAAGACCTTTACGAAGACCCTGCCGTGTGCCCTGTTCTGAACACACTGAAGCTTCCTTACACCCAGGGTCAGACAAAGATGCAAACAAATGGCTTTAGTGCAGTGTGACAAACGTTATAAAAAATAGGCATAAAGTGTTTGGGGACCACAGATGACTAGCAATTAATTCTTAAGGGCATTCCAGGGGGAAGGAACAACACAGTAAGCGCACAGAGGTGTGAAAGAGGCTGTTATACATAATTTGATGTTAGCCGTATGCATAGTAATACCTGTTTAAGTATAGAGCCACAACGTCTACAAACTAATTTCACATCTGTTACCGTACTTGCACTTCACAACGGCCCTGGAGCCCAGGCAGTTATGACCTCCACCCGGCAAGGTGTCTCAGAGAAGCAAAATGGTAGCTCATTGGTCACAGAGGAGCAAGACTAAAGTTGGGGTCTTGGGACACCTTGTCCAATGGCCTTTGTAGGATCGAACCTCCACATGGATAAAAAAGATACAGAATGGAAGGCTGGAAAGCAAATTAACTAGAATGAATGCTCAAGAAAAGAGAGATGCTAATTCATGAACTTCCAGGCCCATGTAGGATTTGTAAAAAAAAAAAAAAAATCTTTTGTTGGTTTAATTCTTTGCTGACGACTCTATAAAACATTTCAGCTTACATTCCTACCTAAGTAATATAGCTCACAAAGCTGAACATTTACTTACTGACTAGGGATGTTTTTAAACGTCAAGGTCATCATTCAGGATTCAGTTCTCATTGCCCAACAGATGTATACGTAGGTCAGAGATGGCCAGCACAAGGCCCACGGGGGCTGGGTAGGCAACACGGATGAGTTCAGCTGGTTGGTGCCACGGGGACCGGTGTGGACTGTGGATACCTGGAGGCACTTGCATGGGCCTAAAGATTCTACTATGGGTCTACTAAAGACTCTACCGGAGGCACTTGCATGGGCCTAAAGACCGTAGCCTCTACTATGCGGCTGCCAAATGTTGCCTTATGAGAGCAAGCCAGAGCTTCCAGATCTTTGATAAATCCATGATTTTGCGAAATATTTATCGATTTATGTTTCAAGTTTATTTACTTATTTTGAGATAGAGAATGAGTGCACATGCGTTCACATGCACACGTGCCTGCCTGTGAGCAGGGGAGAGGCAGAGAGAGAGGGAGAGACAACCCCAAGCAGGCTCTGTGCTCAGCATAGAGCCGGACTCGGGGCCAAACCCACGAGCCTGGGATCACGACCTGAGCCAAAATCAAGAGTCGGATGCCTAACCGATGAGCCACCCAGGCACCCCTCGATTAAAAAACTCTTGAAGAAGTAAATGGCGTGAGAGGAAAGGTATGAAGTTTGGGCAAAATGGCTGAAGGGGAACGGGAGGCGCAGGTTTGCAGTTAGGGAAGGGGTACGTCACGGGGGTGGAAGGTGCAGCCCAGGGAACAGAGTCAATGGCAGTGTGTGTACCAGTGCCCTGTGGTGACAGACAGGAGTTCCGCTTGTGGTGGGCATAACACAAGGCACAGAATCGTCCAGTCTCTATGTTGTACACCTGAAACGAATATAACAGTGTGTGTCCACTACGCCCAAATAAAAAATTTTTTTAATTAAAAAGAAAAGAGAAGAAAAAAATTTTCATTAAAAAAGAAAGAGGGAAGTAAATAGCACAGAATAAAAGGAGGAGAAATCTTACCGATTAAGAGACTTAACACACATAGCCAACAAATGGAGTTGGTGGGCGGACTATTTGGATGCTGATTCAAATAAAACAATTATAAAAAGATCTTACTGACACAATCAGGGAAAACTGAACACAGACTAGGTTTTAGAGCATATCAAGAAACTATTTTTCATTTTGTTGGTTGGGATCATGGGTTATGGTTATATTTTTTTACGTTTTTCCCTGATAGAGATATACACTGAAATATATATGAGTGAAATGATTTGCTATCTGGTGTTGGCTTTTAAAACTCTAGCAAAGCAAGGGTGGCTCAGCCGGTTAAGCGTCAAACTCCGGCTCAGGTCACGATCTCCCAGTTCGTGGGTTCGAATCCCACGTCACGCTCTGTGCTGACAGCTTAGAACATGGAGCCTGCTTCACATTCTGTGTGTGTGTGTGTGTGTGCGCGCGCGCGCACGTGTGTGTGTGTGTGTCTGCCCCTCCCCCACTCGCACTGTCTTTGTCTCTCTCAAAACATAAGCATTAAAAAAGAAAAATTAAAGCTCTAGCAAAGCAAAACAAAAGGAGAGGTGGGATGAAACAGAGTGGCAGAATAGTGCTAATTACTGAAGGTGGATAATAGTTACATGGAAACTCAAAGACTAATCACTCTAAATTGGCATATGTTTGAAAATTTCTATAATAGTGTTTTTTTCATGTTGGCATCCATTTAGAATTTTTTTAAACAGTGTTGAACAAACCAATCACCAGCCTATGAGCTAAATTTGTTCCCCAAGGTATGTATTGCCCCCATGTAAAGGAACAGAAGATTAGGTTAAAGGTGGTTCTGAGCTCATGCCCTAAAGTTACTTGCAAAATTTCTCTCTTTTGAAAAAATCCTTATATTAGTTTCCTTTTTGCAGATATGGGTTTGTCTCCTTCTCCTAAAACTCAGGTGCCAGAGAAAATTCTAGTCAACTAGTGTTTTCCAGTTAGTTGGGAGTCTTTTTACAGTTTTACTCCATTTAGTTTGAAGGAAAATGGGGTGGTGGCCGTGACCTTCCCATGGCTCCCCAACCAGAACACTTCTGTCTAATATGATTGCCCTGAGGTCAGCCAGCTTCAGCCAGACTGCAATCTCTCTAGGGCAATCAAAGGAAGCCTGTGGAACAATTTTATCAGCATGGACTGTCATGTCGCTCTGATGAGGTGAGGGATTTTATACACAGGATCTCATGTCATCCTAAAAGCATGCTTGGAGGCAGATGTTATCATTGTCCTTATTTTATGGCCAAGGAAACGAAGTCTCAGAGTGAGCCAGTAAGTAATCTGACCAAGGTCACACCCATTGTAAGTCAAGAAGCAGGTCTAAGAGTCCAGGTTTGTCAGACCACAGAGCCCAAGTTCTAATCTGCTGTGGGATACTGGCTCTGTTCCCTCCGTTCATTCACCTGCTCATTCAATACACAGTTAATTTTGATTCTGTGCCAGGCACTGGAGACGTGGAGGTGAGCGAGGCATCATCTTGCACCTGAGAAATGCTTGGGAGAGGATGCGACATCTGAGCTGGGTCTTAAAAGAGGAGTAGGGACTCGGCAAAGGGATCACTGGAGAAAATTCATTTGTAGCAAAGGCATCAAGATGGGTTTAGAGGACAGACGGTCATTCTGGCCACAGCATAACGGATAAAGGCAAGGAGGGATGACAATTGTTCTTCTCATTCCACCAACATGAATTTGTTAGCAGCAAGAGTGTGGTTGGCATCGTGTTACACGCCAAGGAACACAGAAGGGGATCAGGTGTGTTCTCTCAATCAGGGGCCGACAATAATATCTGTAGAGAAAGCAATTGCTGAGAATTCTAGTCTGCTAATTAGACTTGAATTCGTATTGATTTCATGGCTTTATGCTCATTTATTTTAGGCCTTGGAAAATTAATTGAATTTGCCTTTCTCTACAAAACTGAAAAAATAAGCATTCGGAAAAGTGATGTGAATCTCAGAGTGAGAAGATGCTGTATTTTTCCTCCTCTGGCCTTTGAAATATGTGCGATTAAAATACCAGGCTTGTCACAGCGACCAAAGCGCGATGGGAACAGATGAGTATTGTAAAGATATGCAGAAAGGTCATCATTTTAATATAAGAAAGCGGCCCTCACAATTTATTTTATCTGGTCAAAACAACATTCTTCCAAGCAAAGTTCAAAAGAGTGAAGTTAGGTCGAGGTAATTTCAAAAGAAGTTAGAGCACAGATATAAACGGATAACTAACGTCCCTGTTAACAAACATTTCTAAATAATGATTACATCACAGCTAGGAGTCAGCATAATGTAATCAAGGTACCACGGAAGGTCCAGAGATTTGAGATTTTATCCTACTCCGTAGCCAAGTTAGTTAAAATTTCCTAGTCTCTGTTTCCTAGGGATGAAAAATAATACATTTTGACTATGCTCTGTGAATCAATAAACAGCAGAGTAATATAGAATATTATAATCATTCTCTCCTCCTAGGTAATCGAGGCATTTTCTAGGGCCTCTTCATTGGGACACTATGCACTTCCTACTCTGAAGCAGAAAAGAAAAGCCAAATGCAAAATCGAGCTTCTTGAATATTCTAAAAGAGTAATAAACCCATCCCAAGTTCTAGTCTCTCACACCTGGGCCGCCATGTCCAGCATGCAGGTTGTGTCCTGCACAAAGATGAGTTGCAAAGGGGGTAAAAGGAGGCTGAAATCCAACCCCCACTCAGCTCACGGAGCTAAGCACCTTGGCCCAGAGAAGAAAGCGCTTTTGTAAGTTGTGCACCAAGGTCCTATGTGCTAACTGCAGCCCTCTCCACCCCACAACTATATGGTCAATTAGTCTTTGACAAAGCAGGAAAGAATATCCCATGGAAGAAGACAGTCTCTTCAATAATTGGTGCTGGGAAAACCGGACAGCAACATGCAAAAGAGAGAAGCCGGACCACTTTCTTACACCATATGCAAAATAAACTCAGAACG